AATAGGAGTTTTCAAAGCAGACTTCCAGCACTGAGGAGTATTTATGGTGGGTTGGTCCAAAGGTAAAAAAAACCCTCAGTAAAACTGAGTTGCAGTCTGACAAAGTGACACTGCTGCAGAGCAGTCAGGCAGTGATGTAGATAGACCTTTGCATGTCCGCTGGGTAAGCAAACATCTTTCCTTCACTAACAGAAGCACTACTTCTTGACTTTTGATTTTTCCAAGTGTCACTGGTGGGGCTATAAATAGCTGGCAGTAGAAGATGCCTTGGACTTCTGCCCACTGAGCACCTGGAGGTTCCTTCTGCCTGGCGCAGCAGACCCATCACCAGCTCCATGGGCTCAGCGCGCTATCGAGGCACAGATCTGGGGAGCTGCCCCACGTGAAATGTGACTCTTGAATGGACATACGGGTGCTCTGCTAGGGCATGCTGAGGATGTGCATGAGCCACCTTCCATGCTTTGTTGCAATTTCATATGTCAAGGCATGACTGTTTACAAAGAGGGTGCAAAATGTGTTTTCTCTGGATGCAGCAGTGATCTAGCAACCAAAGTCCTGGCTCCCAGATTTCTCCAGGCAACGTTTGGTCCTTTAAACTGCCTCATCTTGCTTTTTCTCAGGGCCTCGCTGAGACTGTTTTTGTGCAGTTTGGTGCCAGTCATCTCCACCCCCCCACCTCTCTCTCTTGCAGATTCACACACCCTCCTAAAAACACTAGATGGCAAAAATCCTCCGCCCGTGTGTGTCAAGCACGTGCCTTTGTTTGGGTGATGACACGTGCCAGTATTTGCTGAGGGTGTTTTAGCTGCTTGGTTCTGTAAGCGATGTCACCCTCTCCTCCAACGATCTGTGGAGAAGAGTGTTTCTTGCACTTCCCCCTCACCTCCGCTCCAGTATGCTTTAGCCCAACCTGAACTATTTTAGTGCGACGATCGAGAGAAGCAGCAATTGCTCATATGATGTGTCACACCATAAACTTCAGTAATTCATTCCAACAGTGTAATTCTAGGACTCGGGAACCAAAAATGTGGCTTATTACTCATCTTTGTACCTCATAACACACAATAACCTAAACCATTTATTTATTTACACAACAAAGAGTTAGCCAGATCAAAGTGTTGAATGTCAAGAGCCACTGTTGCTACATATTCAGAGTAATTACTTGCTTTATAATTTATTTTTTATTTCTGTGCCAAAATTGGCCAAGAATTCAAGTCAGGAGATAGGCATAGTGCAGATGATGGAGAGACAAAGAGCCAGCCCCTGCTTTAAACTTGGTAAAGCAAAACTGAGTAACTGGCATGTCTTGCATAGGTTATGAAAGCTTGAATGTGTTTATTTTATGGTTATCTAACATCTAAAGTATTTTCTCTACTGAATGCTTTTTCTTCCTGCATGAATGAAATTTTCAGGTGTTTGCACATGTATATATACCATACAGGAGGCTGTGTATATGAAATGTGTCAAGGCACATTTGGTCTTCACTTACCTTGGTCTAACTCTGGATGAACTCACAATGGGGGATATTTAGCTAAGTCAACCCTGGAGTAATTGAATGCTGAGTTTGATCCCTAGATTTCCTCAGTATGCTTCAGAATAAATGGTAAATCAGGGAAAAATCCAAGAAACCCAAGCAAGAGAAAAAATCCCACCAGAGCTCTGCCTTACCGTGCTGGCCCGTTTGCACAACCCTTCTACCATGGGATGATTTCGCATGGGAAAGCAAAGTGATCCTACAAGAAAGCCAAAGCAAAAAGAGCAGTGCAAGGGAGGAAAGGGCATTGACTAGGAGGACAGAAGAACAAGTGAAAGGAGTAGTAAGGAAGAAGACATGGGAGGAACAGAGAGGAACAGGAACAGAAGCTTGGGGCTATTATGAAGAGTATCCGTATGAAAATCGACAGGTGGCTTGTGTGTCTGGGTCAGCTACAATTTTTTTCTTTAGATATATAGAGGTTTCTTTAAAGCCTCTGGCTTTTGAATAGAGATGGAGAGAGGGACAAATGTCTATGGTGTTTCCAGAAGTCCTATGTGAGGAGGCAAGGTCCCAGGCACATCTGTCCCAGGAACAAGCAGTGTCACACTGAAGCTGTTTTCCTGCCTGTTGTGGGAGATGCAAGTCTCCTGCAGCCTTAACTGGTGTTTTACTCTTCTCTTTACGCTACGCTATGCTGTTGCTGAAACAAAACTGTTGTTTCCTCCTTTGTCAGCTCTGTCAGCTGTGCTGGTGGATCTCTCGGTCCTGATGCAAGGGGCATTGAAGGGGAAAGGTAGCTCGGAGTCAAGGGTGGGTCTGACCGCAGCTTTGCTTGTCTGCTAGGATAGGTAGGGTGCCTGACCAACTGTCTGTCAAAACTGAGGAGAAAATTTGTCCTTGAGGCAAAGCTAATGGTTTGGGATGGTGAGAAAGTCAGCAAGTAGTCACATAGTTGGCTGTGTCTCTTGAGTTTGGGTGATTGCCTCCTGCTTCCCACAGCCGTGCTCAGACTGGGTAGAAGACGTGCCTGCATAATCTGCTTTTTTTTGGTCAGTGAGTTGGAGATTACTTACCAATGTGGATAACAGATTACTGTTCCATACTGTTAATACTCCATGTTTTTTATCCTGCAGCTGTGGCAGATATCAGCTTTTTTTAAAAAAACCCCAAACTTTTGCAGAGATCATGTTGTGTTGCCAGCAAAAAAATGGCATCTCATGTTTCCATAAAACCTGAATTTGTAGTCACCAGAATAACTTTTGTGGTTTGCTGTCTAAATAATCCATGCAAGCCTCTGTGTTCTCAGTCCTATCTCATTAGATGGAAGAACGTACCAATTTAAGACTGTTTCCTTGGTGAATCACCTGAGGCTTTCAAAAATTGTGAAGTTAAGCTGTGATTTGCCTGTTGTTTTATCTTACAACTAAATGTTCTTTCTTTAATGTGACTAGCTAGGAATGTAGCTTCCAGGCGTTTATGGTCCTGATGCTGCTCTGGGCTTCAGCCAGGCAGCTGTCTCATGCACGGTGTTCAGCCTTATCTCTTTATCACGGGTATTTCATCAGAATGATATTTTAGCAGCAGCAATGTATCCAGCTAATAATGTGCTCAGCGGTCCTGACTTCTGACTCTTAGGACAGACTGTGAAGCCCCAACTCCTGTAGTTTTATTCTTCAGTTCCTCTACTGATAAAACTTGACTTTGATTCAAGGCCTTTGTGTCAAAGGTTCTGGATCTGTTTTTGTTGTCATATTTCCATATTTTTTGTGGCTTTTGTTCTCTAAACCAAAATGTTTGCTAATTTAACCTTTCCATTTCTTGCAGTAAAGGAAAAGGTAAGGCTAGTCAGACTGGGAGCTGCCATGTGCTTGATGGGTGCTTGGCACTTTCTCAAGCTAGGAAAGCAGCCAGGTACGCTTGGAATAAGTTTGTCTCCCCGTTGCCGGAACCCAGCAGCTCCACAGTGCTGTGGATTGTAAGGATGTTGTTGGCTGTAGCTGAAAGTGAGCTTGCTGCGAGTAGTTAGTTTGTCGGCAGTGAGGATGGTTGTTGTTTGAGTTGGAGGTGGAGGGAAGCCTCTTGGGTTTGTGCTGTTTTCTGGGTGCTAAGGCTAGGGTAAATAAATCTGAGGTTTTCCCCACATTTGTTATTCCTTCTCATTGTAGGAGTAAGGTAATATTGGAGATCCTCCAAGGCCAAATTAAGGCAGACAGAAAAGATGTGGGTGCAGCATCTTCATGCCTCCATCTGGGGGGCAGAGAAGGCATTTTCTCTGTGTTTTGTTGGACCTGTACTCATGCAAACAAGGCTCTTTTGCATCATGTAAAATTCAGTGTCAGGCAGGAACACCAAGTGCCGTGGTTTTTCCCCTCCTCTCATCCTGACAAACAAGCAGCTGTCACTTGGGTGATGATGGGCGAGCTGTGGGGTCTGGGTGCTTGCAGTGAAGGTTTTCCTTTGTCACAGAGCTCTGTGGAAAAGGAGGAGCCCCGGAGGAGTATTTCATGGTCCCTTTTGTTGCTCAGCTTGGCACATGCCATTAAATCTTTGTCTGGGTGGGTGACCTGGAAGTCTGCAGCACCCAATCTACATGAGAAATGCCAATAAATAAATGTCTATAAATCTGAGGCAGAAAAAGGCAGAGACTTTTATTGCAACTATTCAGTGACTCCATTAAAACAATAAAAGTGACCAGATTCTTTAAGTGCAATATCCTCGCCGGTCCCATCCTTTTGTTCTTATGTGGCATCCTGCACTAGCAGTGGGAAGGAAGACACTTGGACAGGCGCTGGCACGTGCTTTGTTGTAGACAGTGGTACAGTCTCCTTAGTTTTATTCTGTACTTTTATGATGAACTCCACTTGATGTGAGCAGCTCTGGGCAGTTGTGCCACTGAGGGCTTGTAATAAAAAATAAATAATTAAAAAAAAAGCTTTGCTTTGTTGGATTTTGCAGAGGGGATCATCTTTCATGTACATTTTAAAAGAGGGAAATGAAATGTGCCAGGAGAGTGATACCAGAATAATTTTCATTTTCTTATTCTTTTTTCTTTTTAATAACACAAATCTAACCTTTGGCTATAGTTTGGGAAACTTAACCATATCATCCGAAGTTATATGTTGAAAGCTAGGAACGGCCAAAATTGACGCTTACATGTAAATGCCAAACTGAAGACTTTCTGAGAAAAAAAAAAAGAGATAACCATCCAGCATGAATTGTGTTAAGTGTTTGGGTATGGGTAACAAGATTGTCTCTTCCCCTTTGTTATCTGTTTCCTTGCAGTACCTTTTATCTGTTGTTGTACAATGGGAAAGAAATAATCAGTGTAGAGGGTGGAGTTGGAAAAGCAGCTGTTTCTCTGACCGAGGCAGTTGTGCCTGAAATCATGGTGTATCAGTTAAGACTGACATCCTTTGGTTTTATTTTATTAGAAAAAAAATTTTTGAGGTTGTTTGTACAAGGTTAAAGCAATAAATCATCGATGTGACTGCTAACAACCCCCTCTCCTCTGTTTTTTCATTAGGTGGCAGTGAAAGTAATTGACAAGAAAAGAGCCAAGAAGGACACCTATGTCACCAAGAATCTGCGTCGGGAAGGGCAGATCCAGCAAATGATCCGCCACCCAAATATTGCTCAGCTGCTGGATATACTGGAGACTGAAAACAGCTACTACCTTGTCATGGAGCTGTGCCCCGGTGGCAACTTGATGCACAAGATCTACGAGAAAAAAAGGCTCGAGGAGCATGAAGCACGCAAATATATCCGGCAGCTTATCCTGGCAGTTGAGCATCTTCACCGGGCGGGAGTAGTTCACAGGTAACCTTAAAAACCTTCTCTGGTTAAAATTTATCTCAGAACCTCAAAGTGGTATTTTGACATTTATTTGTATAGTAAGGAGTGTTCCTCTTAAAAACATGTTCCAGACATCTTTTTTGGCTAATCTTTGTGATACCGTTTAGATGCTCATATTGTAGATATCAAAAAGTATCTGCGGAAAGCACTTAAGTAAGTATGTAGCTTCAGGTGAGCACATGGGGGCTGTGCTGACTCCACATCCTTAAAGATAAGACTGTGCTTTGCAAAAGTAGGGCTCATTTCCTACAAGTAGCACTATTTTGCATCTTCAAAGCGCTGTGTCAACATTAACCAGTGAATCATTTCACTATTTCTTTGAGGAGATGGTTGTGTCTGTTGTATTACTGGTGGAAGTACAACAGTATGGGCAGATGAACTGATTTGCCCAAAGCTTCAGAGTGACACAGCTGGGATGAAGCCTGAATGGGACCACAGGAGTCCCTTGCTTCTGCCTCTCTGCTCATTCTGCTGGTTATGTTACCTCGAGAGGACCTCGCAAGTTTGAATGCCATGAAGTATAATGCAGAGTATGCAGCCATTCAGTTCATCTCTCAGTTTCTTCTCAGGAGAGATCCAGAGCTGTTCTGATACATCGCTTTCATTCTTTAGAACCTTAGTTTAATTGGTGTATAAGCAGGATGTGGATCTCCTTGCAGGAGGAGAATGGTGTGGAGTTAAAAGTTTACTCGGGCTTAAGGGGAAATAAGACCAGTTCATCAGAGAGGAGTCTGCAGGGGGTTGCTGCATAAGGAGTAGCTACCTCTGCCTGAAGGCCCTGAGCAGCAAGTGGTAGAGGCTGAGAGAGTACAGGTGGCGGTACCACACGTGATTGCCTGTCCCCGTTCCTTTCTCCGGTTATATGTTCTTGGCTGCTATGGAGACAGGAGGACGATGGACCTTTGGTCTGAGCCAGTATGCGTGCTTTTCTGTTCTCAGGTGTATTTATAGGGTATTGTCTAAGGAGGAGGCTCCATTTGCTAAATTTGAGCCAACGGGTGTTAAGTCTGGACTCCCACATACTTCCCATATGATGCTGAGCAAGTTGTGTAGGCCCTATCTTCTTAGGTTATGCAGGCACATAGTGCAGGCAGCTGGCAAACTGCCTGAAGGCAGCCCACAGCCAGTTCTTCCAGCTGTGCGCAGCTGTGTGCTGAGCTGCCTACCACTATGCAGCACTGTTGGGTGCCTCTGGCTTGGTGGAACTCCATACACTTGGAAAACTGCTTTGTTTCTCTTGAATCTCTCTGCGTGTTCGCTGTGATCCGTGAGGGATAGGTGCTATGTGCAAGCTAAATTTCTGTAATATACATATTTGAGCAGCCACCACGTCTATTCTGTAGGTTCTCTAGCAGTAGCTAAACTGCTGACCTCTTTAAATTATTAACCCCAAAATTTGAGGCATGGAAAAGGAAGAAGTCTTCTTACTGCTTTCAGTAATCAATTGATACCCAAATGTACAAAGAGAGAGGAAGGAAAAAGGTCACATTTCTGAGATGGGCAGAGGAAAACCTGGCAGGAACAGATGAACATATTTAGCCTTTAGCAGCATTATTGAGTTCAGCAGCCGCAGGTCCTCTTCCTGAAAAATTTACCCTCTGCATGGTGGCTGAAGCCCTTCTGGGGGGGTTGATAGGCTTGACTTTGATTCCTTTCTTTTTCAAAGAGGCTTCAAACCCACATTTTGTACAGAAGTGGCTTGTTCACTAGGTATAAGCTAGAATCAACAGGCTACTGTGGTGGGACAAAGGCAAGGCTTTGGGGTCCAGAGAGAATGTGAGCCCAAGCTCCAGTATGGATGCTGCATGCTCGCAGCATTTTTGGCCCTCACCCCTTCTTTCTCTCTGCTGTCTCAGTGAACATAAGTGCAGTTCACAGACACTGAAGCATGAGGGACCTTTGAGGAAGCAGCCCTGAGAATACTGACATGCACTGCTGCGTCTGGCAGCTGAGCTCTGTCTGTCCAGCCCTGTGGCACTGAATTAGTCCTTACCCCAAAGGCAGTGTACTCTATCCACCCTATTTCTCAAATCATGGCATGATACAGAGCTTGTTCTTGAGAGTCTTCCGTCCGGGTAATGAACAGGTCCAATTGTGCTTAAACTGATAAAATCTGACAGAATCACAGGCAGTGTATCTGCAGTTTTTGTCTCTAGCATAACCATTCAATGTCTTGACTTACTCTGCAAACAAAGTGTGTAGAGATGCAGGAAAAACACTGGTGGCATGATCCTGATTTATTATTCTGGCTCTCTAAGAGCAAGAGAAGGAGAAAAAATAATAGTGACCCCAGGAGTTGTCCTTCAGCATCTCAGGCTTTTGACTGTGGCAACTCTAGAAACAGACTACTTAATTGGCAACTGGAGGGGGAAAAAATAGTACAGAAGTCTGATTCATTCTCACTTTGGATGAAATAGCAATGTTCTGTTGTTGTTGTTATTTTTAAAGCAGGTAAAAATAAGAGCACTTTCATCTACGTGGTGATCTGTGGGTGTTTGCATTCACTGTGTGAGAAACAAAACACAGCATCCTAGGCCGGAAAGCAGTCTACTGTTTGTCTCTCTCCAAATGCTTTCATCGTTTGCACTGAATGGGGCAGGACATTGAAAAAGTGCTCCCTGACTATTTTATTACAAAATAGTTGGTTTTGTCTGCATTATTTGGGGAATAGTGTAGATGACTTACTCAGTCTGTAACTCAGAATTGAAGAAAGCCAGATGAAATAAGTTGCATGAAATTTGCTTACATTACTTGATGAATATTACTGCCTGAGCTTCATGACTTAAAATCAAGACTTGGCACGTCAGGAAGGCATTCTGATCTTTGGACAAGAGCTGGAACCCATAACTCAGTGGAAATGCTTCTGTTAAGAGGCACTGATGTGTGAACAACCTGAAATTAAAAATTTTCAAGAAACCTCATTTTATTTAGAGAGGTTAAAAAAACCCCAAAACTCATGTTTGACTGTATAGATATATTTTAAATTATAAATATTTAGTCTACTATGATGGATGAAGACTGCAAGTTCCTGCATGCAGGAGCTACATCCTCGGTGAGGGGTGTCCAAGGTTCAGAACTCCTTGGCTGCTTGCTGAAAAAATAAAAAAGCCACTATTCTATCTATAATTTTGTGTAATCATTTGTGTTTCACTCCTTCTATCAGAAGAGCTGGTTGGTTGCTAAAAATATACTTGCAACAATCCCAGCTGTGAATCAGGTAGGAATATTTATCTTTCCCTCTGACAGAGGAAAACAAACCCAAATGGCAGTATCTGGTGAAGCTTTCTCTTTTTGGAGGGTGTTTACATAGGCCTTCATGCTGTCAAAAAGCAAGATGAACAATAAGCCCCTTGGGAGTGTAAGGACAACAGAGAAAATGAAGTGAAAGCCTTGGTGCTTGCCACTGCATCCCACAGGAAATTCTCAACAACCCTTTTAAAGTAATTTTAACAAAATTCAATCCCATTCAGTGCAATTACTGTCAGGATGTCAAAGAAAAGAATTAAATAATGTATTGGTAGCAGAGATAGCTTTCTGTATTCCCCCTTTTTCTGTCTTCGTGGCAGCATATTTTGTAATTAAAAGCAGATCAGGAGTTTGAAAGACGCACAAAAAAACCTGAGGTTTTGAGCGGAGTTTATATATTTTTCCATGATCTCTTTCCC